AAAACCCCAAAACCCCAAAACCCCAAAACCCCAAAACCCCAAAACCCCGTGTTTATAGGGGAAATTGATTAATATTAATATCCAAAATAAAGATGAGTCTTAAGATCTTCTATGAAAATACCCATGGCTTCAATGCTAACATTGTTAAAGTAGCTGCTGCCCTTAGTGGAGCAGAATATGAAATTGTAAAAACAACTAGTGATGAATTAAAAGAAACTAAAGGAGATAAATTTACCTTGCCATACATCGAGGTTGAAGAACAAGGATTGTCAGAAGTAAATACCATCTTAAGACACATTGCCAGACTCCACCCAGACTCTGGCCTTTACGGAAAGACTCTTTTTGAAAATGCCCTTGTCGACACTGTCATGGACCGCGCAATCACTCTCTTCAAGGCTTCTCATGCAGTTGGAGCCGTTGCTTATGGTCATGCTAAAGCAACCGCTGCTGAGTTCAAGGCCAACAAGGAAAAGTATGTTGCCGCTCTTAAGCATCTCGAAGAGTTGTTGGGAGGAAAAGACTTCTTTGTCGGAGACGCCATCACCATTGCTGACATCAAGGTCGCTGGAATCTGTGTGCTCCCATTCAGAGTTCTCATGGATCCAGGAACCTCCAAGCAAATTCCAAACTTGCTCGCTCACTTCGAGAGAATCTCTGGAAACGAAAGCTTCAAGAAGTTCTTCGGAACCACCCATGTTGCCAAGAGACCAATCAAAATCCAGTTCGTCAAGGAAGAGAAGAAGGTAAAGGAAGAAAAGAAGCAGGCTCCAAAGAAGGCTGAACCAAAGCCAAAGAGCAAGCTCGAGACTCTTCCTCCAACCACCATGGACTTGAATGAGTTCAAGTACTGGTTCATCAACCACACTGACAGAGACGCCGCCTTCGAAGAGTTCTACACCAGCAGGCTCGACAAAGAAGGATGGTCATTCTGGGAGCTCAGCTACATCAAGTACCCAGGAGAAGGAGAGCAACTCTGGAAGACCAACAACCTGCTCAATGGATTCATCCAGAGAGCCGAGCCTTTCGGTAAATGGAGTTACGGTGTCCAAATGATCTACGGAGAAGAGCCAAATCTCGACATGAAGGGAGTCTGGATGTGGAGAGGACATGAAATTCCACAAGAGCTAAAGGATCACGCCCAATTTGATTACTACACTCCCAAAAAGCTTGATATTGACAATGCTGAAGATAGAGCTTACATTAAGGATGTTTGGACTGCCAAGGATGGACCCATGAAGGATGGAACCATTATTGCCAACTGGAGTTACCAGAAATAAATGATAAGTTTTAACAGTAATGAAAATTTGATAGATTTAATTTGATCTGGAAGCTTAGAATTTATTCTTTACTCACAATATCAAAGTTGATTACTAGGATTTTTGGAAATCTTGAAAGAGATCTTATTATGAGAAAAATAAACTAGCATTCAATAATAATTAGTGGCTAAGGGGTTTTGGGGTTTTGGGGTTTTGGGGTTTTGGGGTTTTGGGG